CCTGCTTTGTTTCATTCTTTTGACAAAGAATTAGACAATTGCCAAAATATTGAATTAATTAATTAGATAAATTTTAGTATTCTATATTAACTTCTCTATTTATGTCTTTATTACAGCTCTACTCTGTTGTTTTTTTAGGGGTTCACATATGGATTATGACATGACCCTCTAATTTATGACAAACTTAGAGTTAGCTGTATATTTCATGTAAATTGTAAAAACCTTATAGCAAAATAGTTACACTTAAGAACTCCTTTGTTCTCTGTTCTCTTGTCATTTTTTAAATCTACATAGAATATAAAATTCCAATTCTACAATCAATACTCCTTAAGTAAATTGATAGAATATTTACATTTACCTAGGTACTTACCATTTCTACTTTTGTCCCTTCCCTCTCCTTTTAGCCTGAATATTTCCCTTTAGCATTCCAGCAATGGAGATTTACTAATACTAAATTCTCTCACCTTTAATTTTTCTGAAAATATGTTTTACCTTCATTTATGTTGAATATAAAATTAGGGGTTGACTTTTTTTTCCAGCAGCTTAAATATGCTATTTCATTGTTTTTTACAACAATGGAGATATCTCCATGATGCAAATATAATGTATCTTTTTTCTCTCTATTTTCCAGTTTTTCTCTGTAATTTACATCAAAGTGTGCTATCTTTGTATTTATCACATTTAGTATTTACTGAAAGTCTTGAGATAAATACTGATAGTCTTCATGAAATTTTTATATTTTCAGCTCTTATTGCTTCCAGTACTTTTTTATAATCACCCTCCCTTATCATTATGACTAAAATTATATCTATTTTGGAATACTTTTTAGTTTTATACAGATTGCTGTGTTCTGTTCATTTTTTTAAACATCTGTCTTTTCCAATTCACTAATCCCTATTGAGTTCTCAGCCTCTGGTTTACAGACTATTTTGTCTTCTCTTTCCAATCTTACTTAAAATTTTTCTTTTTGCTTCTAGTTCTTTTCACTTTAGAATTTTATTTGTTTCAATTCCAATTTCTCTGTTTACATGTCCTTTATATTCATTATAAGCATCTTTTCCTTTAATTACTTTGGACATAATTTGCTGGGTTCTTAAGGTCCTTATCTATTAACACCTAGGTTATTTCTGTATATATTTATATATACATGACTAGGTTGTTTCTGTATATATTTATATTGACATTCATGTATTTGAAGGCTTGGAAGGAGAGTGTGCAGAAAAATAATTTAGGGCATATATTGGGTTTTACAAAAGATATTTTTATTTTTTTACTGAAAGTAATTTATTATTGATACCTAAAATTATAATGCTGGGTTTTATAACATTATTTTTCTTAAAAGATTTATTTATTTATTTGTTTGTTTGTTTATTTATTTATTTATTTATACAAGCACTGGGTACAGTCAGAAGCGCAGGAGGGTGAGAGAATTCACCAGAGCCAGAGCAGGGAGCAGAGCAGGCAGAAGGACCGAAGTGCACTGCTGAGGGGAGCAGTGGGCGGCAGGAGAGGTCTGCGCACCATGTGGGACCCTCCTCTGGTGGCCGGGGAGCAGCTGGGGATCGAACTGGTGCTTTGGAGGCTGCGGGCAGCTTTGCAACCCAGCGCTTAAACGCTGCGCCACCAGGGAGGCCCAACATATTATTTTTTTTAAAGATTTATTTATTTATGCATACAAGAGCTGGGGTACAGGCTAGAGATGCGGGAGGTGAGGATTCACCAGAGACAGAGTGGGGAACAGAAAAGGCAGACTGAAATACACTGCTAAGGGGAGCAGCGGTTGAGACAGGAAAGGTCTACTTCGCCATGTGGGTTTCTCTCTAGCTGGCCGGGGATCGAACTTGTGCTGCAGAGGCTGTAGATTGCTTCATAGTGCAGTGCTTAACCCCTTGTGCCACCAGGGAGGCCCTTATAACGTATTAAGTACAATCTATATTACAGCAGTAGTACACAGGATAGGGCAAGGATAAATGTAACTGTAGTGATGCCCGCTGGTAAAGATGCACTACATCAACACTAAGTAGACTAAGATAATTCATAAATGCATATTATAATCATATAACAATCACTCAAAATTACTAAAAACTACAACTTAAGTCAGTTACAATTAAAATATAATAAAAATATTTTACTGCAAAATAATGCAATAAAAAATGAAAGGGGGGACTAAATATACAGGAATAAAAAGAAAAATAACAAAATGGCAGACCATATTTATAATTACTTTAGGTATATTCTCAATTGGTCAAATAATTGGTAAAGAATTTTAAATTATCTTTGTAGTTTTCTTTAAATCTCATGGATTTTGTATATTTTTTGCTTTATGAAATTTTATGCCATGATATTTTTAACAGGTTCAATTCAACTTTTTGTGGACTATACTCCTAATCAAGAGTATCTTATTTTTCTGTTGAAAACTTTTTAGTCTCAGATGTGTCCTTTCATGTAAAACATTTTACTGCATTACATTTTAAATTTTAATATGACTTTTTCAACTTGATATTTAATTCTCTTCTTATTTATATAACAGGTAGTATTGTTTTTATTTGACTTTGTTGTCTTATAATTGTCTCTTTTTTCTTACATGATTTCTGGTGCTTTATTTGACTTCATTCATTTTTTATTTAACTTTTGTTTCCTCCATTCTACCCATTTAGAAGATATATTGCATGTATGTTTTGATTAGTTTAGGTTACTTACATAGTTTAATATTATATGGGAAATAAACCATTTTTTTCATTCGATCAACTTAATTGAGGCCATCTTGTTTGAAAGAAGAAAATAACACGTCTATGGATTCCTTATTAATGAAATAAAATAATTATTGATTATGATAATAAATGTTTTTATTTATTGAGTGCACACTTAAGTGGTAGGTTCTGTGTTGAAATGTTTTTATATGTTAATTTTTAAAAATATTCCTATTTGCCCCTGAGATGTACATTAGAATGTTACTAATTTGACATATATGTGTAGTATATTTTATGTGTACCTATGTAATGAGGATGCTTGTACTGCTTTCCTCATATTACTCTTTTTAAAAAAAAAAGATTTATTTATGCATACTAGAGTTGGGATTCAGGCCTAAGGTGCGGAGGGTGAGAGGATTCCCCAGAAACAGAGTGGGGAACAGAACAGGCAGACTGACTGAAATACACTACTAAGGGGAGCAGTGGGCGAGTCAGGAGAGGTCTGGTGCACCAAGTGGACAGCTTTCTGGCTGGCCAGGGATCGAACTCATGCTGCAGAGGCTGTGGATAGCTTCTTAGGTTGTGTCTTAACCCCTTGCGCCACCAGGGAGGCCCCTCATATTACTCTTTTAATTAGTAAATTACTTCATATAGATAAAGTGGCTGAGAAATGTTTGAAATATAATGCTGCAGTGAACAGATGCTGGGAACAACAAAAATGGTAGTCATTTTAATAACTGGTTGAGGCATTATTTGGACCCAAATGTATCTTCACCGCAGAACTGTTTGCTTACTATTATACCTTGATGCTATTCACACACTAGCTATACTTTGTTGGCATAATCTAAAATCTTAATGGCATATCACATATTATATCTGTAGTTATGGTAAATTATGATAACTGTATAGATAGATTAAATTTTCAAAGTTATTTCATCATTGCATTCTTTTTTCAGCTTTAGATATAATACGACCAATAATTACAGATCAAAGAGAATTTGTTGTGTCCTCTTACTCCATGTTACCACATTCACATCACTATTTTCTCTCTTTTTTTGCAATTGACATATATGTGTAGTGTATTTTATGTGTACCTATGGAATGAGGATGCTTGGCAGTATTATGTTCTCGACAAGAATTGTTCAAGAAGCACTCTGGAAATAATATAATTCTCCAATCTTTACATTATTAGGCTTTCTTTACTCTTCCTCAGAATTGGTCTTGGTAGCTACAGCTTTCCCTTATAAATGTAAGCTGTATGCCACAATACTTTAAAAGGGATTCATGAGCTTTTATAACAGTGATGGGTCTAGCTTCAGTCTAGAAGTACAGGGTCTAAAGAAGCATCTAACCTCACTTTTCCTTCCCATCTCTTAGCTCTGTTTCTTGATTCTACAGTCATTTTTTTTTCTTTATACAATTGGACAGGAGGCTACTTGAGGCCCCAAATTCAACGAACTGCTTTGTAGTATTTGTAAGATGTGAACTTTTTTCTTCCCTTGTCCATAAATCCAAGAGTGAGGGGATGGGCCTGACTTAAATCACCTAATATTTACTGACCCAAGTATGGGAACTCTGAGTAGTCTGTTCATCTCCCCAGTATAGGTACCATACCCTATGATTACCAACTTCACCAGTACCTAATAATCTGAAAGAGAATGTCCCCTAGAAGGAAAAGGAAGTTAGTTACAAATGTGGTCATACATCTATAAAGTGTAAGTACAGTGACCAATCACTAGTGCGTCAAGTCTTCATGACCATGTATGTCATGTTAATAGTTACTGCCAACTTAAATTATCAAATACCCACATGCCACCAAATGTGCATCATAGTCTGATGAACAACAGCAGACTCCCTGCTGCAGTGAGTTCATAAATCAATAATCCAGCTGTTCCTGTTTTGTGTTTGTGTCAAAGCCCAGTTTTCTAGGGGGTCTTAAAAGCCATATGATGAAAGTGGTGGAGAGTTCCTTCCTTGTGGGCTATTATGATTTAGAACTTACTTTTATCAGGGTTTTAGCAAATTTGTAAGGGTTTTTGGTTAGGCTTTAGGTTTCTTATGTGCCTATACAATTCCCTGATGCACTGGACTAAAAGTCAGTTTGAGGGAACTCCTTAGAATATGAAACATCATCAGGCACTGTTATTAATCATGGTACTGAAATGGTGACTCCACCTTTAGGAAAAAGAAAAGGATTCTTTCTGTCTTGGTCTTAGGCTGCAGAAATGAATAATAAATGAATAGAGTATGACTTCTTTCGTGAGGTAGTAACCTTCTAAATGGGTTCATTTAAGGGCAATTGGTATGTACCTTCCATTCAGGAATAGAATGTGTCTCTGCAGGTGTTGGTGAAGATTCCTCATCTCACTCTGGCTTGGAAGAATATAGTCTGATGAACAGCAGAATTTTCAATTCTGAGGGAAAATTGCAGATTTTCTAGTTTCATGACCATTTGCCCCTCAGACTCCTTGTATTTTGTAGACAGAAAAGGCTTTTCCACACAGCTGTAGGTTATTCCCTGACTTTCAAAGGGTAGCTTGGATTGGCAACATTTCTTTGTGGCAACACCATCATCAATGACCACCACACCCTAAAAATCATCACCTCACAATGCTTTGGTGTCATCTTAAAATCATTGCCGCTTTTCCAATGCAAAGTCCAACCAGTTAAATGTGGACTATGAGAATATGGTGGAATTCCCTCAAAGGATCTAGAAAAATGAGGAAGGTAATGTATGTTAGGTTCACAAATTACTCTTCTTTTATTCTTGTCCACTGAATTATACGTGAGCTCCCTGTGCTCACCCTATCTGCTCACCTTCCACCAATGTGATGCTATTTGAATGATTTATCGAATCTACAACAGTCTGTAGAATTGGCTGTAATTTTTTTTTTACCCTCTAAAAGAACATTTTTATTGGGAAAAGTAGAAATAAAAAGAGAGGCACCTGCATGGTCACAAGTGAGTAGGAGAGCTGCCGCTCCGCTTTTGCAAAGGGAAAAGGTTTGTGAAAAGAAACACCTGCTTAGTCACAGTGGGCAGGACTGCTGTGTAAATTAAATTAACATTTTTCTTCCCAACACTTGTAAAATAAAAATATATTTGAGAAGGAAATTATGTCTGATACAGAGATTTGTCACTAGCCTGTACCACAGAGGGAGGTTTACACCCAGATCAATGAAAACAACACCAATCAAAGAAAAACATTAGGGAGTCCTCCATTTCACTAATTGGAGTCCATGTATAGATTTTTAAATTTTAGGTGGGGCTCGTTTTAGTTGCAATATTCAGAGCGCTCAACTTGAAGAAACAATTACTGTTGTCCTGAGTAGACCAAAGGGGAATGGGCTTCCTGCTGCATGTGTTATTTATAAAATTAAAAAATGCCAGTGCTAGATGTTTTCTCATTTTGGTTCTTCTGAATGTTCTGCTTTAGAACATTCTGGTGTAAATTCTGTACACAGCTGATATAAAACCATAGGGACTTCTCTGGCGTATTACACACTCTTCTGGAAGGACCAACCTTCCTCCACACTGGTTTGGAGAACAGTCAAATGCATTAGCAATGTTTTTTCAAATCCTGAGAAAAAAAAATTAGAAACTATCTTCTAAAGGAAATTTCATAAAGAAGTTGCATCATCATTCTCAGATCTGTTTGTAATTTCACCCAGTTACCATTTTGTTTTGCTGCCAGTGTCAATTATTTTCATCATTGATAAACTAAGCTCCTTAAAATTGTCTTTATCACTTTCTGTTATCAGTGTTTCTCACACTTCCTAATCATGATGTGCTTTTAATACATGCAACTTTAATACTTTGAATCATTCACTGAATGATTGAAGGAATGGGTGAATATATATTTTAGATAGTCACATGTATGTATCTCACATACATATGCATAAAAATCTCCCTATAGATTCAGGAATGTGCAACTTCATAAGTATCTACAAGTATGCATATATGCCATCCTTTCTTTCAATCATGTGTGAGATTTAGTGTGTGTGAAGAAATGTGTAAAGTTCAGAGGACAGAATGAAGAAAGCTTCTTGAGGTGAGTATCAGAGATGCAGGCAGATATAACATAGAGGACACAGGCCATTGGCAAATTCACATTGGCTGCACTATACTGAGTTCGATGAAAGCAGTTGGAGGAGGGGGTGTGGTCTGTGTGTGCACAATGCCTGGAGTAGAGGTTGCCTCAGCAATGTTTGTCTCTTGAACCAATCATCAAAATGTGAATGATTGCATGAATAGGCAAGAGCAGGTGCTCCCTGTTCTGGGATGTTTCTTGTAGTTGTTACTTTCATGAATGAGAAAGTCATGTATGGAGGGAGCCTGTACTTAATATCATGATGAGATTTAGTTCTTGAGGTCATGATTAATTTTTCAAAACTGTCATAAATACAAAGGTTATCAACATAATACTGAATGTACTTAAACTGAAGCAATTCCTTCCCCTTGAGGGATTATGTGTTGTTTTATTTATATTCTGCAGTGAATGCACAAACAGAAGTAATTGTAATGATCTGTCATTACTATTTGCTGAGATCTTGCCGTAGTCCAGCCTCATGCTTTACCTCGTATCTATGTCATTTTTTTTATATGCAGCCACATAGGTGCCATTTATGTAGGGCCTAGATCCAATTAATTGTGGACAAACTTCAATGTTTAAAAATCACAAAAGGTGTCTTGGGCATGCACTGGCAGTGCAGAACAGCTCAGCAGATTCTAAACAGAATCCCCATTACAATAAAAATAATATATCTCCAAGTAATTTTCCTCTTCCCTTTTAATCCCTACTTCTGGCTGGAATGTTTTAGTATTAAATGGTTATGATCCAACTTCATGTTTAGTCTTTAGACACTCAGAAAACCCCCAAAATGGAAAGAAACAAAAAACAGCAACTCAAAGTATTTCTTGAAAATGCTTAATTTTTTAGGATAGCTTGTTTTATGTCAGTAAATAACCAGGGGCAAGCTGAGTGAAGAGTAAGGGAATATGTCACATGCTCAAATAATGCAGGGGAGAAAAGTACTGAGGTGGTAACAAATCAATAAGAATAACTGTCCTCATCAGACTTTTTTTTATAGTACCTAGTCTATTCTAGAGCCCCACAGGGGCTGCTTCATAGAATTATACCATGTGAGCTTTAGTTCTAACCTAGATATTATTTCCTCCCTTACAAAGATGAGGAAGCCAAGGTAAATAATGGCTAAATAATGTGTGTGTGTGTGTGTGTGTGTGTCTAACTCCTGGATTCAAAGCCCGTGATTTAGGGTATTACTCTGTTGTCCTGTATAGAAGATATTTTCAACTCCTCCTATAGTATCTTAGAGTGGAATATGTTTAAACTTGCCATGAAGATATTTGCGGAGCATATATGTATGAGACAGGAGCCTTCTAGGCAGTGGGGAAACAACAGTAGCAAGACAGTAAGGGTCACTGCAATAATGGAAACAGAACAATGATGTATATGCAGCAACACACTCATTAAGGAAATGGATGCCGGAGTATATAGCCTGGATTCAGATTCCCATTCACCATGTTTTCCTTGTGAGAGAAGGTGAGATGTGTCAGCCACTAACAAAATTAAATGAGATGTTGGGGAATGTTTTACTTAGAACAATATCTGGCACATTATATGTGCACAATAAATATTACCTGTGACTCTGAGAAAGCATACATTTAAAACTCAATGATTATGTTATATACAACAAGTGCTGGTTCCTGAAAAATATCACCAAATCACCTTGTTCTCGTATAACAGCAAGAGATGGCATACTTTGGCAATTTCAGCAGTATGTCAAAGGGGGAAAGATATTTTGAAACACATTTAAGATGGGTCTTTCAGTGTTTTGGGCTTGTGGAAAGAAGAAAGCAAGACAAAATTCTTGTTGAGTGGTTGGGCTTGAGTTCCAGCATCAAAGCTTAATTTTTCTTTTTCTAGAATTAATTTGTCTGATGATCTCATAGAGGATAAACTAATGAGTCAAAATAAAACCTGGGATAGAGACTTGATTGAAGGCAAGGCTGTGTTACTTCCACGTAGAGTCTAGAAGGCAGACAGTAGTTGACCAAAATGTCAAATTCCTGCCTAGTGTGCTAGACACAGCCACGAGACTGGTTTCATTAATCCACTATTTTCCTTTCAGAGCTATCCAATGATCTGCCTAAAGCAAAAATATCCCTGTGAAATTGTTAAGTGTGTTGTAATCCTCGTGTTACACAAAGAATTGTTTAATCCCAGGAAATGAATTTCATAGTATCGATATCATTAATAGAGCTAAAGCAAAAGGAAAAACAGTTGAGTCTTCTTTATAAAATCTGTGAGAAGTTGACATCTCCAAATAGATACTGTCTGCACTCTAGTTCTCATGCAAGTTCTGTTCCTCTGAAAGTTCTGTTACAAATGCTGACTTCCACAAAAGATCCACCAGTGTTTGTTAGGCACAGGAACCTCCTTTTCCAGATGTGATAGTGTAGGGACTTTAGATTGCTGACTGTTTAACACATTGTTGTATTCGCCCTGCCATCTATTAATTGAGTTTCAATTATTTATTCATGTCAAGGAATTGGAACCGAGAGAAACTGGGCAACTCTCAGAGGAGAATGTATCCAAACCCAGCAGTCAGTCTGGTTGTGTGCTCTAACCACTTCACATGTTAACTTGTAATCAGGTGTTTGACTTATACTAAAAACTGATTAAAATGTAATAAATAAATAATAGATGTCTTTTTAGTAAAATAGCTAAATTTCTTACCAGATGGGTAAGAAATTAGAGGAGGCAGGTTAAAACATAACTCTATATTATACAGTTTTGTTGGCTCTTGAGAGGAAGCCATCTTTCTCTCACCCAGTTATCTATTGGTTTGGAGGATCTTAGGTAGAACACTTCCTTCTAAAGATAATCTTCTTCTAATGGATTCCTAAGATTTCTCAGGTTGAGGTTTCCAGTCTTGATTTTACATGGTGTATAGGCCTCTTTGATTAAAAGATATTACTCATAAATTTCATATTACTTCTGTACTAGTTTTAACTAAGTGATGGGATTCTTTCAGAGTTCAAAGACTGTCTTGGTACTTGGGAAACATCCAGGATTATTGGAGAAATCTACCACCTCAATACTTTGTCATTTCTGAGGAGGAGAGTATATAATAGTGTTAGGGCTTAAAAATGATATTGTGGTACTCATATAAATTTTTAAATTTGCAAACCTTATCTTTAATGATAAAGGCCTAATGTCCAGAAAAAAACTTGGGCAAAGGCTTATCCCAGATGAAAGATATTCCCCTCACTTGAGCATCCTTTAGTGATCCTATCATCAATAATTTGAAAATCCCACAATAGTTAATAGAGATCAGTGCTTTGAAGAAACAGAGCTGGGTTGGGGGAAAGGAGATTAATGACTAGATCACTGAAGCAATGCTTCTGAAGGTCACTGCCCTCAGACACAAGTACACAAAAATAGACTTATTTAAAAGTTAGCAATCACTCAATTCCCCTACAGCATCCCACCAATAGACTTCAGAATAATAACAACAAGGGATTCCAGT